GCAGACCTAGGAGATCCTAAAGTCCAGAGAGAATCAAGACCACAGAACGTGGCAGGTGTTCTGGTAAGAAGGCCTCAAAGGAAGGGGTGACAGGCAGGCGCCTCTCCTGCTGACATCATTTCAACCCGGTGACTTCTGTTGCTCTGTGGATCCAGCTCTTCACAGAAGCCACAGAGAAAAAACAACACAAGACAATAACCTAAACGGAGATCCCAGGGAAATATGATGAGGGAATAGGGGACTGGGAACACATTACTCACCCGCTGAGCTCCCTTGGGCGCTCCCTGTACAGCAGCTGGGGCCCTGTGCAGAGGTGGCAGCTGTCTCCTGGGCCCTGCATGGGGGGAACCTGTCAGTTGTCATGTTCAAGTGCAGCCAGGTCTCCTCTTGCAAACTCAAGTCGTGCAGCTTTTTGATTACACACTTCAGCACCAGAGCCTCCATGCAGATGCTAAATGAAAGTGATGATGTATGCACGTGCATGATTCACACCATTTGTAGTTGGCGAGACATGGAGACAACAGAGAGAGACAGTGAAGGAAGGAGGGATCTCTTGTTTCCTTTTTTTTCCACTTGAAGATGAGCATACTGGATGGCACCTCAAAACTCACCAACCTACCAAGTCCTGCCTCCGGCCACATCAGAACCTACAGAAACCTCTTTCAGAAGTTCAGAGATCTAGCCAGGGCAGAGAGGAGTGGGGAGAAAGTTGGAAAGAGCATCTGAAATGTCCCCCTTTGTCCACCACCGTGGGGGCATCAAGGATCCCCAGGGGATTTGGCAGTTGGGATTTCAAAGAGGCCTCTAGGTCTAGTGGAAAGAGCAAAGACTTGGAAGTCAGGTAGGCCAGGGTTCAAATCCCGGCTCCACTACCTAGTAGTTCTGTGATCTTAGACAAAGCACTTGAACTCCCCGAGCTTCTGTTCCTACTTCTAACAAAGAGATCATGGCTGCTGTGTGAGGCCTGGCATATTGGAGATGCCGGAGAAAGGAAGTCCCCTTCCCTCCACTCCCATCCCTCCTCAGGTCAGCCTTACCAGCACCTGCCCTGCCAACACACACACCACAGTCAGTCTCATTTTCCACAAAATTAATTATCTAGGACTCATTGGTATCTAAAGACTCTGTGGGTGTGTCCTTGGCAAAGAGGAAGCAGCTGGCAGGAGCTGACAGGAGGAGGTAGTCAGTGGGTTCCAGATATTGACTCTCCTGGGCGTGAGGCAGAACTTTGAACTTGTAAAGAATGTCCACCCAGCTGCAGGAAGGCTGCAGGGAGGATCTCGGGCTGGGATTGAATCAGTCTCTCCCTTCTCCTCATGATTTTATCAACTCTAATCGCCTCTGTGTCCAGACATCCAGCCTCCGAGTTTTCAGCTTCAAGTGATTCATCTCAAAGGCCACCCTCATGGGCCCTCATCTGTTGTCTAATTGGAGAAGGGGGTGCTGGAGGCCCCAGTGCCTTAATTGCATTTGTTAATGGGTAGGTGCAATTATCCCTGGCACACTCCTGCCTACTGCCAGGCAGACAGAAGATGATTAAGGGGATCTTTAAAACTCCAGCTCCCCACAGCCCTCTCTACTAATTGAGCAGTGGAGGAAGTGATATCGAGCTCCCCCACTCCTTTCTTTAAATGAACTCCTGGCTCCAAGTCCTCCTTGGAGCAATACATTGGCCACATGGCTCAGAGCATTTGCTTCCAAGGCTATTCGTCACCCATCACTTAGGCACAGGGCCCAGCGGGATCGCCCGTGGGACCATCCATCACCCAGAGCCTGGGGAGAGCTGGTATCATCCAGCCTAACTGTGGCACCTGATATAACTGAGAGGTGATCAGAAGGTGTCCCGCTGTCCTCTGACCTCGGCCACCAGTGCTCAGCCATCCTGGACAACCACAGTTGCTGCTGACTGGCCCCCCTCCCTGATTTAGCATGTTCTTCACCCAGAAGCCAGAGCTATCAGCTAGCATCATAAACAGGGGTGGGCACTATGTTAAAAGCCCTTTAACAGCCTTCCAATTTACCCAGATTGCAATCCACACTCTCTGCCATCTCCTGCAAGGCTGCAGATGGGTGGCGCCAGGCACACGCTCTGTCTTCAGCCTGCATTCCCCCAGCCTTGGCTCTTTTCAGCCGCCCTGGCCAGGGGTCTAAACATCCCCAGTTTGGGGACATTTGCACGTGATCTTGCCTCTGCTCAGAAGCACTTTCCCTCCCGCTTTCATGGTCAGCCCCATCATGCCCTTCGGGTCTCTGTGCTATGACAGCCATACCTTAAATAGTTTCCCACTTAATTCCTCTTTAAAGAAACCACTTGCATCCTGCAAAGCACTTATCATAATTTTTCATCATTTTAGTTTTATTCTTTTGCTGTACACTTTTGCTGCTGTGTCTGCCTCAGTGGGCTCCATGAGGTCTGAATCCCCTTTGAGTTTGCCATCCTATCCCAGGTACACTGGGATACAAATCCTCAGTACTTCCTCACTCATTCAAAAATCAATATCTGTTGAACCCCTACCATGTGCCAGGCTCTTTTTAAAGTGCTAAGAACAGAGCAGAGAACCAACAAGGGGAAACTTCTGCCCTCCTGATGCTTATGTTCTAGGTAGGACAGAGAGGCAGGCAATAAACAATGAACAGAGTAAGTGAAACACCCGCAAGGGCAGACAGTGACTAGGGCTCATCTACCAATCCAGGCTAATGCTGAATAATTCTCTGTGGTCCTGGGGATACTGGGTAAAAAGCCAAAGGATAAAGGAGTGTGTTTGTGCGAGTGTGTGTGTGTGTGTGTGTGCGCGCGCGCGCGTGTGTGTGTGTGTGAGAGAGAGAGAGAGAGAGACATGGAGACATGAATGTATTTTGATGTCATGAAAATGAAGACTGTCAGGGCACAGCTTCTACCTTCTGGTGCTCAACTCCCAACTGCCACTGCCTCCTTGCTGGCTCTGGCTTCTGGGCAGCACCCCCTCCCCTGCCCGGGTATCACATTTCCTTCCTCACCCCCATAGCCACTCACCCACCTGTATCCACTACAGCTCACCATAATGAGGTGAGTTTGGGTTTTGGCTACCCTGGCATTCATACCCCTTACTTCTGGAGATGGCACCCCATGTTTTCCTGGAAACCATTCCCTACCCCATTAGATACAGTTTTGGTAGGACAGTCAGTCACAGCCTCTGCCCTCTCCCAGCTGACAGGCCCCAGGGCCCTGAGACCCTGTCCTAAATGAGGTTGAAAAAAGGCTGAAAACAGAAGTGTACGCATGCTGCTAAGATGGTTGTTCACTCCTGCTCCCCAGGCCCTCACAACTGCCCTGCCTCCTGTCCTTGCCGGTCATGCAGCTCACTTTTCCTTGGCTGCACCAACCAGTCTTTGATTCCTTATTATTTACAACAGTGGGAGGTGGTTTCTGTGGCTTGCCACCAGAGGTCCCTGTGGGTGCCCACCCATCTCACTGCACCCGTGTAAACTGCTGGGGGTGCAGCCCAGTTCTCATGTTGCTCAGTGTGGGGGATTTGGGCTAGAATCTGAAGTCTTTGGATTTCAAATTCTTTGTCAGTAAAATGAGGACAATAATAGCTCATTCCTTACCTATTATAGTGAGGATTATGACTTGAAGTGTTTGCATACAAACGGACCGCCCTTCCAGTGTCTCCCCTCCAGTCCTGGAGTTGCTGTGGTGAAGTAGGAATAGCCTTTCCCCACAGATGTTGCCATGGGAACCCCAGCCACAGGTTCAGTGTTCTGGGGTGCCTGCAGCTGCTGGGGGTGCTGACAGCAATGACTCTGCTTTTTGGAGCAGAAAGGCCCAGCTTTTCCTGTCTCCCAGGCCCCAGCTCCCCTGGGTCACAGAAGTCCAACAACAGCTGCTGCACTTGGGAAACGGGAGGAGGAACATACCCGGTGCTGCTGGCTTCTAGGCTTGGGGGAGGCGGGGCAGGAGGAGGACCACACTCTGCTCAAAAGTCTCACACTGGAAACACACCCGAAGACGCCATGTTGTTGAGCACTCCAGCAACAGCTCTTTAGTGAGTCAGTTCTGGAAGGCAATGAGGATGTAACAGGGTGGTCCCCAGGAAAGGGGGAGGTTCCCTGCCCCACCAGAGGGAGGGTGGAGCTGAGCAGGAAGAGGAGAAGCTGGAGAAGAGACTGAGGAAGGAAGCAGGATGGAGCCAGGAGACCTGGAGGAGGCGCATGCAGCCTAGAGACACGTGAAGAAACTGCGCTTGCCTTTTGGTCATGGACTAGGTGACACAGATGTGGGTGAGACCCATGGGGAGGTGACAATGGCAGCTTTTATCTTGATGTTGATTTTGCTCTTTTCCTTCCGGGCTTGTCCGGTTGTTTGTGACCCTTTTCTGTGGGTCCCCACTGGAAGATGCTTTAGACTTGTAGCAGGCTTTGGGGCCTTGTTCTGGGCCGATCCCATATGGATGGACTTTTACCCACGAGGGGACGGGTAACTTTGGGTGCTTCATTTAGAAACTAGACTCTTTGCCTTTCCTGTATTGTTTCCTAATTAAAGTTCCTTCCCATTAAAGTCTTGTATGTTTTGTGTTGATGCGGCGGATGGCAGAACCCATTTAGAATAGGCAGGTTTGCGGGCCTTGGGCTGCCCCTCTCCCTGTCCTATAACAAGGAGGGCTGAGACCTCAGTGGAGCCATAGAAATTTAAAAAGCGACAAGGTTACCATTTGTGGAGTGGCCACCAAGGGTGAGCCACTCAGCTGAGTTCCAAACCACAAACTGGACCAGGAGGCAGAAGCATGCCCTATGACCCACATGGGGTCACAGCGCATACCTGAGTAACCCCTGGCCAGGAGCAGTCACTGAATGTGACCTCATCATCGTGCAGGCTCACTCATTTCTCACTCACACCCGGAAATGTGTTCAACCCAGTAGGGACTAGACACGTGGCGTCAGAGGGAGGAAGCAAGGCGCACGCAGTGAGGAGGACAGCAGCCAGGATTCAAGAAAGGACTGTGAGGGTAAGGGGCAGGCCAACGGCAGGGCCTCCAAAGTCAGGGTGGCTGAGCTGAGCCTTGACGGATGCATGGTTGACAGTTTAGCAAAAGAAATGGGGTGAGGGCAGGAGGGATTTTCACGTAGTGACCCTAACATGAGCAAAAGAATTGGGGGCAGGATGGCTTCAGTTACTACCCTTCCTCTGGGGCACTCAGTGCAGGGGCATCCAGTGCAGGGGCTGCGGCCAGACCACTGGTGAACCCAAATGGCAATGGCCTTACAGGGATGCCAAGTGATCTGAACTTCTTCCTATAGTGAAGGGGAGGCCTCTGAAGGGTTTTAAATGAGAAGTGATGTGGTGAGACCCCAGACACTGCCTGTTCTGGGGTGTACGATGGACTGAGGGTAGGCCAGAATAAGGGCTGTAGTCCAATCAAGACATGATCGCTCCTGTCAAGGGACCAGGGCTGTGGTGAGGAAGGGGGTAAAGGGGAGAGGCATTTCATAGCAGAGACGTTTCAGACATCAGTAGACTGTCATTGGCAGGATGCTGAGAACAAAATTACACTCCTTGCCAGAAACCTCTGGTGCGTCTCTGTCATGACTGTGCATGTGGGTGTGTGTCTCTCCACATGCTTGCTGGGCTTCCACGAGTGTGAGGCAGCTGGATGCACAATGGGGTCTAGGCATGACCCTGTGCCCGTGGCTGGCGTTCTCAGCACAGCTGTGAGAAGGCCTGCGTGTCTGTCTGCTGCTCCCAGTCAGCCTAGGAGGCCCCGCTCCTCCTTGTGCTTGGGCTCAGTCCGGACTTCTGCATGCCAGCCCCCTCAAGGGACTTCAGCTGCTTTAGAGGCTCCCACTACTAACATGATATGCATCTTCCATCCCTGTTTGATGCCGCAACATGAACCCCGAGGCAGGTCTTCAAAGGGAGCAACTGGGGGCAGAAAGAAAGAAAGGAAACATCAGGATTAAAACTGTGGACTAACCCTGTCCCTGCTCCAGCCCTAGCCCACGGGGCTCCCCCACTGATGGACTTGGACCCTGGGGGTTGAGGGGTCCTGGGAACAGGGAGATGGGCAGGGCTAGAGGATGGGAGGACTGGAAGCTGCCCCTCCCACCCAGCAGGTTCCAGGCTTAGGGAGTCGGGTCCCCAGTAGGAAACAGGCTGCCAAAGGACGTGCCCTCAGGGTGGTGCATTTCCTTCCTCCTATCTTGTCTTCCCTCCTTCCTTCCCCTCCCTTTCTCCCCTCTTTAAAACCTTGCCTCTTCCTTTCCCTCTCTCCTTCCCTAACCACCCCTTCCAGAGGACTCCAGGCTTTAGACTCCCATTTGTGTACTAACTCTGATATTTGGTGAATATGTAATTGTAGACAAGTGTCCCTCTATTTTAAAAAGTATCTACCAGGGCCTCTCTGGTGATCAAGGGGTTAAGCACAGCACTATGGAGCTATCCACAGCCTCTGTAGCACGAGTTCTATCCCTGTCCTGCCAGGGAGGTGACACACATGGCACAGCAGACCTCTCCTGTCTTGCCCACTGCTCCCCTCAGCAGTGTATTTCAGTAGATCTGCCTGTTCTGCTCCCCACTCTGTCTCTGGTGAATCCTCTCACCCCCTCAACCTCACACCTCTGGCCTGTACCCCAGCTCTTGTATGCATAAATAAATAAATCTTTAACAAAAAAGTCTCTACTCTCACCTCACAAGTTTGTTTGTTAGAATTAAGTAAATTGACGCAGGCAAGAGTGCAGCATAGTGCCATGTGAGTAGCAGACACTCAACTCACAGTGACCATCAATGCTGTTGTGCAGTGGTAAGTCCTCTCCACCTCAAACAGCTTCCTGTGGGAGACACCGGCAGATAAACAGGGCAACAGGAGGTTTCTAAGAGGTGGGTGCTAGGGTGCTTGGACGGGGCTCAGAAGAACAAGGATCCACTCTTCCTAGGAAAGGAGTATGATCAGGGAGAGCTTCCTGGAAGAGATGATGTCTGAATCTTAAGGACAGCTTTATTTCACCAAATGAGTCAAGTCCAGGGTGAAGCCACCCAAGCTAAGATTTTGCCAAGGGATGGGAGGGGAACTGCAAAGACCCTGTGGTGTATCAGCTCTCAGGTTCTGCATGAGAAGCTGCAGAAGGCTTTTCTTATTAAAATAATATGTACGCAGAAGAATAAAACCTCACAAATTATGTACAACTCAAATCGTTGCATAGTGAACACAGCCTGCAGCTATCACCTGGATCAGAAAACAGAATTTTCCCTTTGCAGGCCCCTCCCACCCAAAGGCTTCTAACACCACAGATGCAAGGCTTGCTTGTTTTTGAACTTTAAAGGGATCACGCAGTGTCTAGCTTCTTTCATTCAATGCTGTGTTTGTGAGCGCCAGTGAATCGCAAGTTACCATACACTCACTGCTAAGGGGCACTTGGGGAGTTTCTGGTTTGTGACTGTTATAAATATCTCTATTATGAACAATTCTTATGCTGCCTTTGGTACATTTATAAGCACGTTTCTGTTAGATATCTGCCTAGGCTATGAATATCTGGGGTAGACATGAGTATGTTCAGCTTCCGGGGTACTTCTGAACTTGCCAAAGGGACAGTGCCAACTTACCCTTCCACTGGCCGTGCATGACAGTTCCAGCAGCTCCACAGCCTCACGGACATCTGATATCGTCCATCGTTTTCATTTCAGCCACTCCGGCTCTGGTGTAGCTCTAATCTGAACCTCTGATGGCTGGTGAGGGTGCACCTTGTCATGTGCTTACTGGCCATTTGGAACCTTTGTGGAATGGCTGCTCTAAGGTTTTGCCTTAGTGATTTGTATATTCTGTATATAGGCTCTTTATATATTTTTTATATATAAGTCCTTTATTAGATCCCCAAGTCCCATTTTTGAGAGTCATATTTCTGGGGGCCAGTGGGGAAGGAGAGCTGGTGAGGCCCTCTATACCTAACACCTTAGTGGGACTGAAGTGTTTCCTTCTGTTTCTGGGTTTGGGAAGTCCTTCAAGAGAGGACGCCTCCTCATTGAGGGTACATCTCCCTTCCCCTTTCAGTCTCTTTCAGTTGGGAGAGATGGGAATACAAATGAAGAGACATGGAAGAGAGACAAGAGCAAAGATCTGGAGTTTTCCCAGTAGGGAGAGGAGCTGGGGCAGAGTTTGACCTTCCTCCTCCTCTAGGCACCAACATTTGGTGAGGTGCTACTGCACCCCTCTGAGTGGGGAGCGAGGAAAACAGGCACAGCCAGGATTGGGACACCCCCACAAGAGATAGGTGTTAAAGCGCCCTCCCCCACTTCCAGAGAGAGGGTGCCCTGAGCCCAGGGGCATGAGAGGAGACGAGAAGGGAAAACCAGGAGTCAGAATGTCTTCGGGTAAATGTGACCCCCCCTTTGGACAGGACTACCTCCTTCATCCCAGTTCCCCTGGCCTTGGCACGGCAGGTGTCCTGTGTTTGCCTACTAGATAGTAAGGGACATGTAGAACTCTCTGAAGGTAAGTTTCACACATGAGAGGAAGGCCTGGAGGTGCTCATTAGTATACAAGTTGAATGAATGAAGTTTTCCCTGTCTCTTCCCTCTTTCCCTCCCTTCCACAAACACTTACTGAGCATGTGCTAGACTCTGTGCTAGGGTCAAAGCAAACAAAACAGACACAAAAATCCTGACTTCATGCAGTTTGCACTCGAGTGACCAGCAGTAGAGACAGACGTTCATCCAGTGAACGCACAACAACGATCTGGCAGGGGCATGTGGAGGCATTTGGGCTTGCGCCGCCCCACTGCTGCAAACACCCCCCCAGCCTGGGAGGAAGCCCAGCCTTTGTGAGCTCTGTTTCCAGAGGCCTTTGCATTTCTGGGGGAGCAGCCGCAGGCCCCGGTTGCCAGGCACCCAGAAGACTTCCCTCCCCTTCCTGGCTTTTGTTTTGTGAAACCGTGTTTTCAGGGGAATTATGCTAGATTGTCTGCAAAAGGGAGGGCTGGAGTGTGTGAGATTGAAACAACCACAATAGAGAATTGGGAGATTCTTCCAAGCAGAAAAGGGGTGGTTCTAAGAAGGGCACCCTGGGGGTCTAGTGTCTAGGAAATCTGGTTGTAACCATTATCCGTAGTGTCCAGGGTGGAACACAGCCCAGAGGACCTAGCCTGAATCACATGGGGTCTGTAAAATCACATGGGGTCTGTAAAATCACATGGGGTCTCAACAAAAGAGGAATCCCAACATCAACAGAGACAGTTTGCCACCCTCGCCACCCACACCCCCAGTTCCTCTCCTGTTCTCCCCACTTCATGTTTCCGGGACTCCGAGCTCTCATATATTTTGCTGACCTTCCTCATCCGTGTGCCATCTACTCCTTAACTCCAGTGGTTGCCCTCAGTTGAGAACCCAGATCTGTTTTTCTGGCATCGTCCCCCATGTCTGAGTGGTCGAGGCTGAGTGAACGGGAAGGGGTGGTCTAACAGGGGAGTCTAGCAGCCTATTTGTCAGGAAGTAGTGAGGACTGAATGAGGTAGTCTGAGGGCAGCGTCTGCTAGAGTGGCCGGCAGCGGAGAGTGGCAGTAAACACCGCTGCTGCTCCGAACCACCTCTCCCAGCCCGGGGCAGGGAAGGCAAGCCCAAGATGTAGAAGCACCTGGTACCCTCAAGTCATTTGATCACAAGCAGTTGGTCCAGCACTGGCTGGAAAGCGAACTCGAATCTAGAGCACACATGTCATCGTCCACCTGTAACAGGGTGGTCTCCAGGAAAGGGGGAGGTTCCCTGCCCCACCAACAGGGAGAGGGGTAGCCCAAGCCCCGCAAACCTGCCTATTCTAAATGGGTTCTGCCATCCGCCGCATCAACACAAAACACATGAGACTTTAATGGGAAGGATCTTCAATAAAACTAGGAAACAATACAGGAAAGGCAAAGAGTCTAGTTTCTAAATGAAGCACCCAAAGTTACCCATCCCCTCGTGGGTAAAAGTCCATCCATATGGGATCGGCCCAGAACAAGGCCCCAAAGCCTGCCACAAGTCTAAAGCATCTTCCAGTGGGGACCCACAGAAAAGGGTCACAAACAACCGGACAAGCCCGGAAGGAAAAGAGCAAAATCAACATCAAGATAAAAGCTGCCATGGTCCCCTCCCCACGGGTCTCACCCACATCTGTGTCACCCAGTCCACGACCAAAAGACAAGCGCAGTTTCTTCACGTGTCTCTAGGCTGCATGCGCCTCCTCCAGGTCTCCTGCCTCCATCCTGCTTCCTTCCTCAGTCTCTTCTGCAGCTTCTCCTCTTCCTGCTCAGCTCCACCCTTCCTTGGGTGGGGCAGGGAACCTCCCCCTTTCCTGGAGACCACCCTGTTACACACCATGCTCTGGGTTTGCAGCCTCCTCCGGCCATGGGAAGCAAAGCGCAGCGGCACTCTGGGAAGTGCATCATCAGATGTCATCGTGGTGTGAGCGCACAGAGCGTAACTTACATGACCTCTATGGTGTAACGTACACACCTGGGCTATAGCAGGACCGCTGCTGTATATTGGCCCACCGTTGACTGACACCTCGTTATGTGGCGCATGGCCCATGTATCTGTGTTCTTGAAGCAGGGAGGGGCATTTTAGAAAACCTACTCGACATCAGTGGGGCAGACCCAGGACATGCCATTATACACCACTGACCCTGGTGACACTCCAGTATCTGGGCAGCAACATTAGAAGAGGGGAATCTAACCTATTTTCCAATGTTTCATTTTAGTGAGTAAGCAACTTTAGAATCATGTTAATTGTACTGTCAGGGAAATGATACAACAGAAGGGGGGTTGGGAAGAGGGGGAGACCTGTAGATTGCAAAATAGAAAATCTACTGATGTTCTGTAGGTGACAGTGATTCAGGGACATAGAAGTGTCAAAGTTGTGAAATCCTGACATCTTCCCTCCCACCCCACATCCCACTCACCTGAGGAAGTCTCTTCTTCATAGGAAGTCTCTTCTTTAGCTTGTGTGTTCTTTAGGACTCTATTGCAAACAAACATATAAAATCTGAGTTCAAACAGACTTATACTTGCATAATTGATCGACTTGTGTAATTGAGAAACCTGAGGTAGGTCTGGCTTCAGGCAAAGCTTGATCAAGCAGCTCAAGCAATGTTATCTAAGATCTGGTTTTTCTCTTTCCTGCCATCTATAATTTTCCTGCCATCTTCCCCGGTCCTCAGTTAGAGGCTCTCCAGCAGCCCCAGGCCTTTCCCTCATAATCACAACTCTGCTTTGGTTCCCTGACCTCACATCCTTACCTCATATCCTTTCTCTACTCCTCCAAGTGGGGGTGTCTCTTCTGATTGAAGGATTCCTCTATCCGAGAATAGCCTCCTTTCCTCTCCTCACTCACATCCGTGCCTCCTTTCCCCCCCTTTGGTGATGAGGGTTTACACAGCCATCCCTAACACAGCCATCCCTAAGCAGGCAAGTGAGAGAAGGGATGTGATTGCCTGTGGACCCACTGCCTTCATTCAAGTGACATGAAAGACAAAGGAGAAAGGTGGCTTCTCAAAGCACCCAAATTGGGGTACAGATATGGGGCAGCTATGACATCACTTTCCCATATATCCTCCTAACTTTCTACAGTACCCCCTTAGATTTCAGAGCCCCCTAATTTTCCATCCTTTAGGATGGGATGTTCTCTCCCGAGAATCCTAAATCCAAATCCACAGTCTGGAGGTTGCTCCTGTGGCTTGGAACCACAGATCCAACTGCTTGCTTGGCTGGTCAATTTGGAGGTACTGCTGGGGCCTGGTACTCAACATATCTAAGACCCAAGTTACTCTCACTCCCCAAACCACCTGGCGCCAGTCCCACTTCCCTTTATGTGCTCTTGAATTCTCCACTGAGCTGGAAACTTGCTCATCCTGGACTCCTGCCTCTCCTCACTGCCCTCAAATTGAAGCCAAGTCACAGATCATAAATCTCTCTCTGGAATCCATCCACCTCTTTGTAGCCCTGCTGTCGGTTCCAGCTAGGTGCTCAGGAAGTACTGGTGACCCAGGGTTTTTCTTTTCCCCAAAGTCCCCCCTCCCCCACCATGCTGCAGGATCTCCTGTTCTCTGCCGCCACAGCATCTTGCTCCATGGACAGAGTCCAGCACAGTGCCTGGTGCTTAAAGATTTCCACCAAAATATGTGGGTCGAACAAATGAATGAGTGAGCATGAGAAGAGAAAGGGAATTCTTGGGGGGAAAGGTCAACATCCCCGAAGGCCCCGGGCCAGGAGGTGCCTGTGACTGCAGGTGCTAGCCTCGAAGAACTTGACCCACCTTGCCCGCCCCGCATCAGGGGAGGGCTGCCGACCACCGGCCGGGGGGCTGCAGAGAGGCTTCTGGTGTGAGGCGGCCATGGAGGCCAAGGATTCCTAAAGACCCAGCAGATCTCCAGACTCTGGATTCCAAGAGTTCAGTGTTTCTCTTCAGCTCAGCACAGTCAGTCTGCTAGCTCCTAACAGTTGAATTGCTCCATTTCTTGTTTGAATTCACTAGAAAGCTAGCACATAGCAGCAGGGGCCCTGGGAACAAAGTGTGCTTGTTTCTCCCCCACCCTGGTCACGGGGGTGGCGTGTGGGCTAACGACACCTAGCACTCAGCTGCCGCAGTGCCATGAAAACGTGCATGAGGGAGAGGGGAAATGTGCCCATGTGGCTGTAGAGAGCTTGCAAGCTTTATTAACCTTCTGTGACTTGGCAGAGATAGCAAACCCACAAATGTGGAAATAGACACATGGCTGCGTGACTTGGGTTCTCTCTGTGAGGTCTCTGTCCTTTCACAGACAAAGACTGGCTCTTCTCTCTCCTGAGGAACAAGGGCTTCCTTCAGCCCTGGCGGGCTTCGAGAGAAAGGTAAGGAAGGGGAAGAAAACCCGGCCTGTTGTGTTCCAGCCTGGGCACCTCACAAGCATTATCTTGTTTAAACCTCCCAGTCACCCTGGAGACAAACATCCTTCATCCTCATTTGTGCAGATGATGAGACAACGGTCCAGAGAGGCCCCCTGACTGGCCGGAGGTGGGGTGATGGGCGAGGGGAGGAAGTGGGGCCCAGATGTAAATCTGTTGTTCCTATAGCCTTAAGGGCACCAGCTGCTGACACAATCGTAGGGTCCTGTAGACCTGTGGCACAGATGCCAGGAGCACGAGGGACTGGGGATTTATCACGCTTCTTTGACTCTGCCCTCGAGGAGAAGCCTGAGAAGTTAAGCCTTACAGAACAGCTCAGTGAGCAAACTTAGTGCAAGAAAATTATGCATACATACATAGAGATCTAAAATTTATATTTATATAAAGATATTCAATATAATATAATATATATATACCATGATAGCTTCTCCGCCAGGATACTCCCTATGCGGCCCACCGATTTTTTTCTCATGCTGGTTGAAACTTTTTTAATACAGAGAGTTACCAAGAAGGTCAAAAATGAATCCAACCTCCCTGATCAGATTAGCCTTTGTTGAAATTAAAACAAAAACAATCTAGATATAAGCTTGGAAAATTCGAACAGCATGCAAATTAAAAACTTAAATACCATTTCCCTCCACCATTCTCCCAAAGGCTATGTTTGCTAATATTTTCTCATGATTCCTTCCAGTAAAAAAGGAGCATGTATAATCCCAGAGGTCTATTTTATTTTTGACACAAATAGAATCATTCCACACCCTCTGGGTGTCCTACTGTTTGTTCTTTTTTATTCATGGACATACCTGAAAAGATCATTCCATGGTAGCACAAAGCCATCCACCTGTCTTTTGCTGAACACATCAATGTTCATTTTTTTTTTCATTTAAAAAACCTGGTTTTTGGCCTTTTTTTTTAACTGGACAAATTAAAGAAATTGGTGCTTGGTCTACTTCAGGCATTGCAGATGCACTCTTCCTGTCGCTCACTGCTTGCGTTCAAAGCAATGTTGGCATTTCTTGTTTCTAGAGGTAGCTCAAATGACCACTCCCTGCAATGCCTACGGGGAAGAAAGAGGGCTGTATTTATTTTTTATTGCTATGGGAACAAATTACCACAAACCTAGTGGCTTAGAAAAAGTCAGGCTTACTGCCTTGTACTAGGCAGGCAGAAGGGCTGCCTTCCTCCTGGAGGTTGTGGGGAGAACCCATTTCCCAGCCTTCCCCAGTTTCTAGAGACCACTGTGGCCGGTAACCCTCTTCCATCTTCAAAACCAGAAGCACAGCATCCTCTCTCCGCTCTGATCTCTATTTCCCTCTTTCCATCTTCTCTCTGTCTGGGCCTCCTGGTTCCATCTTATAAAGACCCTGTGAAGACACTGGGCCCACCCAGATAATTCAGGATAAAATCTCCCCATCTCAAAATCTTTCATGGAACCTCATCGTCCAATACCCTTTTGTCATGTAAGGTGATGTATTCACAATTTCCAGGAATTAGGACATGGGTGCTCTGGGGAAACATTATGTGGGTGAGAAAGAAAGGAGGGGGTGGGAGAAATGGGGTAGTAATATCACTGCCCACGCGGCCATCCCCCATCTCCGGGATGCTCTACACGTAGTGTGGCCTAAACCTCCCACAGACTTCTACTTCCAACCCCAGCAGGAGGGTGAAGTGGGTAAGGAGCAGATTGTAGATTAAATAATGTCTTGTTCGTCATGTACAACATCTCAGAGGCAGGGGTGTGAACTGTATGACCTCTCTAGGTACCTTCCAGTCTGACATGCTGACAGCTACTGTGTCCCCGAGCCCCATAAATCTGCCTTGGTTCTCTTACTCTGAAACATCCAGCCTTAAGGCCTCCCTAGACAGAAGGTCATAGAATATTTGCCCTTTTTGCTTATAAAAATAGCACATACCTCCTATTAAAAAAAAATTGACAAATTCAGAAAAATTTAAAGAAGCAGGAAAATGTGGCATCATTAGCCTATTTCCTTCTAGTCTTTTTTCTATGCATATATTTTGTACCTCTTGTGAGAGAGTTCTTTCTGGGGTCTTCTGGGGAAGGGGTGTCAGGAGGTCAACTTGCTACCTTTAGGTTTCCCAGCAGGTGGATGCTCTGCAGGCCCAGAGGCTCTCAGTGAGGGTGATGTTCACTCACCAGGGAAGAGGCTGAAAAGCCTTTCTCTGCAGTAACCCTAAAACCAGAGGGAAAGTTTCAGTTCAATATAGAATGAGAAGCCCATCTCCAAGTCCTGCAAATTGCAGTCCTGTTTGGTAGGCACAGGAAGGTGCAGCAGGTATCTCGTGATGTTCTGAGACCTTGTCAGGGTCTCCTGCTTGGATCTCTGTCCCCCACTCTCTCCTCCTGTTCAGTTTTTTCTCCTCAGAAAGCCAGCCCCTCTTCTCCTGGGAATGTTCTGTCTTCCTGAAACAAACAAGGAATGCTTGGGTCGCCATTTGTGCTTCCCACATCCCCAATGTCTGGCTTTGAATGACCACGTCTTTTCTCTCCTGCTCTGACAGAGGGGAAGGAAGGAAGGGGAAGGCTTTCCCTGGGAAGCAGAGTATAAGGGAGGGAGGGCACTGTTCTCTGGGGTGCAACGGTGTGTCTTCCACTGAAACTGTAGCTGCTTCACCCAACAGTGCATCTAAAATAAAACATATCTCACCAGCCAAAGACTAGTGTCTTCCAGGAAAAAACACAAGCACACAAATAATATTTGACCTACACAAGACTTTAATATTCTTCCTATTACTATACTTGTAACTATTTCCTGTGAGCAAACACCCAGACTTTATTAGCCGAACATTTACCTCCTCTCCAGCAAGGTTAGATGACAAGATATCATTCATGAACATGACAAAAAGCACACTGTTTTAGTTGTTTAGAGAAGGGATAAGGGTTGTGTATGGGGGAGACAGGAAGGGAAGGTGAGAAGTCTGTTTTCACTCTATCGCACATATTTTTAACACATTTGAAATTGTATAATTTTGTATCCTGCCTTTTTTTTTTTTTTTTGCCATATCGTAAGTATTCCCTCTATTTTTTAGACTCCTCACACATCCTGTCTTATATAAGTGCCATTTTAAGTGATTGTATAACATTGCCTTGTAGCATACAGCCCGGGATTTTTAGGAGCAGAAAGTCAACAACCCAAGATTATTCTTGCTAAATCCTTAAGAGCTCTAATAACTAGCTTAGGAAATTCTGGGGACTTTCCACAGAAATTGCTAATGCGCATTCTTTCCAAAGAAATCGCCAACAGGGTCCAATTCATATTAGACTGCAAATGTTTCCCAGGTAATCAAGGATTTGTGCACAAAGCAGCGTGGCTAGTCACAGGGTCAAGAAACATGTTCCCAGGAGGACCAAGGATACAAAAAGCAAGTGCAAAATATACACTACCTGGGTGATATGTCGGCAGATGTGACCTGGCCCCAAGGAGTAGAAGTAAAGACAGGTCATCTTGTACACAGCAGATAGCTGTATTGCTGGACAGGAGTCAACAAGTCCCAGGACTAGCAAATTCCTGACTTTGAACTCTAATTCTGAGACTCTGCAACTCTCTCCGTTCTCAACATTGATTGTACATTAAAGGGGGAAAAATAAAAGGAAACGCCCAGGACTTATAACAGATTGATTTCACAGAATAAATAAATACATACATATAAATATATATATACACATATATGTGTGTGTGTATATATATATATATATACACACACTCACACACACACACACATACATATATAGCTTTCAAGAAGCCTAGGAGAGACAAAACTCCCTGTCCAATCCAATGCCTGCATTTTAGATACCCTAGAGGCCTTTCTGGGGGGAGGGTTCACTCTACCCCTCCCTGCCCATTAGGAGTTAGGAATTTGTCCTTAGTCAGGACCTGGCAGAAAACACTGGGATATCAACAATTTCATGGAGCATTTTGTGCCCAGTTGTTGCTTCTTTTCTGGAAGAAATTACTCTATTTTCGGTAGCCTCATTGGGGAGATGAGGTGAACAGGTCAGACTTTGCTATGACCAGTGAACTCAGTTTCTGATGCTCTCAGTCAAGAGTGTCATTGGGATAGATGCAGGGACCTCCCAGAGGAATGGCAGCAACTCATTGCCCCTTTGGGACAATCCTGTGCTTTCCAGAAGGCCCAGCCTGAAAAGAGACATACTACTTGGCAGGAAGTTGAAGAACAGGACTGGAAACCCATCTCCAAGTTACAAGTACCTTCCCAGCCAGCCCTGAGATATCCCACCTTCCCCCATCTATGATCCACAGCCCTAACACCCCTACGCAAATATCTAATCATTCCCAAGAGTCATCAGCTCTGCCTGGTATGCCATGGATCCACTTTCCTTCCTCCAACTCCCCAGCACAGGAGCCATCTCCTAACCGGTCTACCAACCTCCAGTCTTTCTATCCCCAGACTGTTCTCTATGCCTCAGCCAATGTGATCATTCTAATCTGAGAACTTCTGATTTGAAGATAACGCGAAGGTAAGAACCCTTTCTTTTACTGGAAATAGTCCAAAAGCAAACAGGAATTGAAGAATCAAAACACAAACTCCATTTGCAGTGAAAGCAGAGAAATTGAAATACAAAATAGGTGGAAGAGTTGCCAAAAACAATGGTCCTCAGCAGAGACACTCGTAGAAGGAGTGGACTGAGAATACCATGCTGCAGACTCAGGATCATCCTGCAAACATTTAACCAGAAGATGCGGGGCACACCTGGAGACACAGGCCAGAAAGCCCTCCCACCTGCAGCAGCCGAAAGTGGCTACATGTGCTAGTGGCACAAGCTCTGACTGATCAGGACTAGGTGAGGCTCCATGCACAGGACCCATGTCTAAAGGAAAGTGGTCTGTCTGTGTGGCCACAGGGGAGGAGAGAGTTTGCACTGGGAAAAGCCTCCCCATTGGCTGGAGAGAATTCACGGTTTAGTGCATTTTTATGAAGGAAAATTTAGCCTACCTGGAAGACAACCTTGACTGATCTCCTACAGAAGATCTATGGGGAAGGAAAAATATCTGCCAAGTCCTGAATAACTTATACAAAGATTTGACAAGAAAAGGGGAGGGAATAAAACATAAATAGCAGGAGAAGAATATACTTCCAAAAATGTTATCATAGAGCAGATAAAAATTCTAACCAAAAAATTAAGAAAACAGTGAAGGAATTGCCTCTGGAGGAAAGTGCATACATTAGAGATGAGGACTAGGCGAGGAGCAGCAGGAGGAGGGGCAGAGTGCAGGGAAGTGCAAGAACAAAGACAACCATCTAGCCTTCACTCTTACACTGTACTTTTATTTATTTATTTATTTTCAAAGATTTATTTATTTATTTATACAAGCACTGGGTATAGTCAGAAGCGTGGGAGGGTGAGAGAATTCACCAGAGCCAGAGGGGGGAGCAGAGCAGGCAGAAGGACCAAAGTACACTGCTGAGGGGAGCAGCGGGCGGCAGGAGAGGTCTGCGCACCATGTGTGCAGCCGGGGATCGAACCGGCGCTGCCGAGGCTGCGGGCATCTTCGCAACCTAGTGCTCAATTGCTGCGCCACCGGGAGGCCATGTACTTCTATTTTTTAAAAAAGATTTATTTATGTATGCATGCAAGAGCTGGGGTACAGGCCAGAGGTGCAGGGGGTGAGAGGATTCACCAGAGACAGAGGGGGGAGAAGAACAGGCAGACTGACTGAAATACACTGCTGAGGGGGGCAGCGGGCGAGTCAGGAGAGGTCTGCTGCGCCATGTGGGTAGCTCCCTGGCAGGACAGGAATAGAACTCATGCTTCAGAGGCTGTGGATTGCTTCATAGTGTGGTGCTTAACCCTATGTGCCACAGTGTAAGGGAGGCTCCCTTACACTGCAGTTTTAAATTTGAAAGAATTAAAGGGAAGATAAACACTTAAAACTGAAGGAGAGATGGCAAGAGGACTAAGGAAAGTATGCAAATTAAATGGAAATAAAGCAAGGAGTAGAAAGAAAACGGTGGATGTGAAAGACAAAGATGTTTTACATGTGTTAAAGAGAGAAATTGATAATACTCATTGGTCCTCAAGAGGGAAATTGGGTCAGTGGGGAGAATGAGTGGGTGGGAGGGGGGAGAGTAGTGATGGGAGGCAGGGTTTTCACTTTCCGTCTTTAACATTTGACTTGTATGAACACACTCGCTCCTCAAAAAAAAATTCTAAAGGAACAATCCCCACAAGCCCTCAAGACACATTCACACTCACAAACCTGACGATGTCACTCTCCTCGCTCAAAACCCTTCAGCCATCTCGTTGCTGTTAGGATGAAGGACGCGCATGTCAAGATGGCTCCTGAGCAGGACAACCACAGTCTGTATTGCTCCACGGGGCCCTTTTGATATTGAAAGGCAGTGCTATGGAGGGACACTGGGACCAAGGTCACTTACAAGGCCAGTCACGATCTGGTCCCGGCTGCCCTCTCCAGCCTCACCTCTCACCTTGCTACCCAAGGGCCCTCACCCCAGCCTGCTCCAGCCCCCTTTAGTTTATTCTGCCTGCCAAACTGAGTTTACCTTTTTTAGCATTTACATATTTTATCAGTTCTAACATGGACATTCCCTGCCCGCCCCCAACCACACATGCACATTTGCGCATCTGAAATTAAATTGGCTCTTACAATCCACATCATGTCACCATTTAACACATAGCATTTTTCTTAGTGGAGCAGAAATGAACGGTGCCTCTTACAGGGGAGGGCAACTTAGATTGGGCGACGCTGCAGACCAAACTGCAAATGCCCAGGCCTCTCCTCTTTCCACAAAATGGGTTTGAGGTGGTGACCACGAGTTATTTTTTATTGAATGACCAGTGGTACTTACTGGAAATTAGGAGGTACACAATAAATGTTTTGGGATTTTTTTTGAGAATGCATAAATAAAAGCATTAATCTTTACCATCTTTTCTGAAAATATCTCATGTAGTTCTCTACTTAGGCCTCAAAGCTTAATTAGCTACTCAAGACTTGCAATGACTTGCAATTTCAGGGAAAAAAATGGCTACAGTAGAGGACTTACTCTTGAATATTTTCCTCCTGAACATGTCTGGTTCTGAGTCTTTGGCTCTCCAATACCCAAACTCGACAAAGGAAATTTAATTCCATATAAAATACATCTTCATGTTCCTAACAACAGGACTTAAAGTCTACAAAGGAAAGTGAAACAA